ATTTAATATAAAATTCGTAATCAAATTTATTTAAGACACAAAACACAAATTCTATTGTAACGATATTTTTAACACAATGAAAATTTCTGACAAAAATATTTCTACTACAAATTCTCTGATTGCTTTGTTTTCAACACCCCCTCTCAATCAGACAATCCCAGAATTCTAACAAAGTTTTGGAAACGCGTTGGATCAGTAGCTTTTGTAAATATATCTGCCAGCTGTTCACTTGTATCAATCGGATTTATCTTAATTTTGTTATTAGTTACACAATCCCGAACAAAATTATGTGTTATGTCAATATGTCTGGCACGTTTGCTTTCTAAATTTGTAGCCATTCCAATGCAGCCATGATTATCTTCATATAGTACAACAGGAGTATCTTCTGACATAACATTCAAATCGTGAAGTAAACCCTTTAACCATATTGCTTCCGTTGTAGCTAAGCTCAGTGCCATATATTCAGCTTCACTAGAAGATTTTGCTACGGTTTGCTGCTTTTTACTGCACCAGGAAACAGTTGATCCAAATATCTTAAAAACGTATCCACTTACAGATTTTCGATCTGCCACATCTGACGCCCAATCCGCATCAACATATCCAACAATTGGTTCTGTACTTGAGACTTCAAACTTTAATTTAAATGATGATGTTCCTTTTATATACCTTACAATACGTTTTAAGTGCTGCCAATGAGTTTCGTTTGCATTTTGTTGGTATCTTCCCATATAACCTACAGGATAACAGATGTCAGGTCTTGAGCACAACATAATATACATTAAGCTTCCAAGTAGTTCTCGATAGGGTTGGTTACATTCAGATCCTGGCTCTTGCTTTAATTGCAAACCCTTTTCCATTGGGCTTTTTACAGCATTGCAGTCTACCATACCAAATTTTGATACTAATTTATTTATACTAGCCTCTTGTGATACTAAGATTGTATTACTATTGTGTTGAATCTTCATACCAAGAAAAAACTTGAGAATTCCACAATCTGACATCTCAAAACGTTTGGATAAATCCTTCTTTAATTGTTCAATACTTGACAGCTTGTTGCCGGCAATTAGTAGATCATCAACGTACATTATAACAATAATATCATCAGTGTGATTGGGACTTAATCTTGTATAAAGACAATAATCATGCCGCGATCTTTCAAATTTAAGGGAAATCAGGAAATTGTTAAATTTTATGTTCCAACACCTCGGCGCTTGTTTTAAGCCGTACAACGATTTATTTAATTTACAAGCCATACCATCATTAGCTTTAACTCCATCAGGTATACACATATACACGTCTTCATTCAGATCACCATGTAGAAATGCTGTCTTTACGTCAAGTTGATGAAATATATATTTACGATATAAACCAACTGCTAAAACCACACGAATTGTTGTTAATTTGGCGACAGGGGCATATGTTTCAAAGTAATTTACACCTTGTTTTTGTTGGAACCCTGTAGCAACGAGCCTTGCCTTATATTTAGTTGGATTACCATTTTCATCAACTTTGATATTAAATACCCACTTTGACTTTAACAGCTTTGTTTCCTTTGGAACTTCTACTATGTTCCAAACTTTATTTTTGTCCATTGATTTGAGTTCTTCATCAACGGCTTTGAACCACTTATCAGAATCTTTTACAGATGCAATATCGTAATAAGTTTCGGGTATTTTATCATTTGAAACAGTAGCACCTAAACCAGTAATATAGCTTAGAAGTTTACTGGGTAAACGTCTTTCACGGCTACTTCTACGAACTGGAACTGTAACTGTTTCTTGGATTCCATTGGCGTCTTGAGAATTAGAACTGTCTTGGGGTAAAACTTCTTCATCCTCATCTTCAGTCAAATCGATTGTATCATTGTAACCTTCACCATTTATATTTTGCTCGACCAATGCTTCATCATTAAGTACTTCAGACACAGCACAATTATTTTCACTTTCCCCCTCTTGCTCGTGTCTTCTTTGGACTATGATACTATCTTTGCTGATTTCATTGTGAAATCCTTCAAAAGGGAATTCGTTTTCTTGAAATTTTACATCTCTTGCAATTATCACTTTTTGTTTCTCTAAATCCCACAGCCGGTAACCATTCGGTGCATATCCAATCATCACGGACTTCTTGCCTCTATCATCAAGCTTTTTCCGACACTGGTGGGGAATCCATACATATGCTTTACAACCAAAAACTATAATTTTATCAAATTTTGGTTTGACGCCTTCCCACAACTCCGAAGGAGTTTTTAAATCTTCAAGACTTCTTGTAGGACATCGATTTATTAAATAAACAGCAGTAAGAGCTGCTTCAGACCACATTGTTTTAGGAGCTTTTGATTCAAGTAACATTGTTCTTACTTTTTCTGTTATCGTCCTGTTTAACCTCTCTGCCACACCATTCTGTTGAGGCGAATAAGCTACCGTAGACTCTATTTGTATGCCTTTTCTTTTGTACCAGTTAGATTGTTCAGTAGATAGGTACTCTCTGCCTTGATCAATTCTAAGATTTGAAATAGAGGTGCCACTGAACTTACTTGTAACAAGTGCTTCATACTCTTGAAAATATTTGAAAACCTCCGATTTCTTCTTCATCAGGTATATTATGGAAAAATGTGTAAAATCATCTATGAAACTGACAAAGTATTTACATCCGTTCCATGAACTTGGACTAATGGGGCCACAAACATCAGAATGTATCCTTTCCAGCACCCTTTTCGCTCTTATGCGTGTGTCATCAAATGGTTCTCGACATTGCTTACCTTCAACGCAAATATCATAAAATCCAAGAGATTTTGATTTAAGATTTAGTCCACTTATAAGATTCGCTTTTTCTAACTTCTGAAGACCACTTTCGCCAACATGTCCAAGTCTACGATGCCATAGGACAGCATCATTTGAATTACTCAATAACGCAGATGAATTATTTATATTAATCGCCAGTTCATATAAATTTCCACATAATTTTGCAGTAGCAATCACTTCTTTATTTTTTAATATAATTGCTTTATCATTAATGAACTTTACCTCTAAATCAGCATTATTAAGTTTACTAACAGACAGCAAATTGTCTCACAAATCAGGGACATACAGTACATCCTTCATAGATATTTGAACCCCTTTATTACTAAGGCCGTTAATCTCTCCATGATGTTTTGCTACAATAAATTCTTTATTCTTGGCCACATTTATTTCAACTGGTTCTTTCAATTCTTTTAAATTTTTAAAACACCACTTTTCATTTGACAAATGATCACTCGCACCTGAATCCAACTTGAATATAATTTGTCGGCTTTGATCATTGCGTCTTTGTTTATTATTACCGCCAACCATGAAGCATACACCCTTATTAGCAACTTGAGCATTAGCACTTCTACAATCTTGTGCCCGGTGACCAAATTTGTTGCACTTGAAGCACTTACCATTGAATTTCTTGAACTTATGGAACTTCTTACCAACAAAAGCTGTTCTTTGTTCAATATCTTCTTCGTTTCTGTCTGACAATTTGGCTTCTTCTGACATTAACCTCTCCTTAACTAAGTCAAACGACAGCTTACCATCTTCAACATTTTGTAATGCTGTTACCAATGGATCAAATTTTTCCGGAAGGGTTAGAAAGAATTGTGCCAATAAATCAGCCTCTTCAATTGTAGCACCAGCCATCTTCAACTGACGAATCAAATTCTCAAAAGCCATTATATGAGCTGTCACATTGTCACCTTCATTCATACGCATTCTTGATAACTTCTTACGCAAAAGTAATTGGTTTACCACTGATTTCTTTGCAAATACAGATTGCAAACTATCCCACATTTCTTTCGCTGTATTCTTCTCCCGAACATAGCACAAACAATCCGAGTGTAAAAATCCAACCAAACGATCTTTTGCTTTCTTGTCGTTCTTCATAAAATTAGGAATTGCATCCGCATTTGTAGGAGGAGCGCCGGTTAGAACGTCCAATAATCCTAGAGAGTCTAAATGCAATTTGACACGAAACTGCCAATCATCGAAACCAGAGCCGTTAAACTGTGGTATACCGTGAGATTCTTTTGAGTCGCCCATAACTATTGTAATCTCTTATTAAAAGGCAGTTATTTTATATTTAATATAAAATTCGTAATCAAATTTATTTAAGACACAAAACACAAATTCTATTGTAACGATATTTTTAACACAATGAAAATTTCTGACAAAAATATTTCTACTACAAATTCTCTGATTGCTTTGTTTTCAACAGTATTATACATAACATAACAATTTAATTCAACAGTGGTGACAACAAAACCTTGTAATCAAATGGTATTTTATTTATATTCTTCAGTCAACGAAAAATGTCTCACTTTCTAGATATACTGTTAGGGGGTAACCCTATTATGAGGCATAAACATGACAATGTGGCATCACTATGAAATGCAACGCTGCATGCCTCATTAGCTTTAAGTTTTTTTGTACAATTAATATAACCGTTTTTACAGCAAGTTGTGACACGCTAAAGTGAGCACACCTCAATCAATGAATTAAAGTTATTTTATTATTAAATTAAACAAATCGTCTTTTATTCAACATAAAAGTACAACAAAAGTGGCGACGAGGACGGTGAAATAAAAATTATCTATTTTTATATAAAATGCCGCAAACAACAATGTCCGACGACAAAGTTCTTCAACTGTTGGAAGATCAGCAAAACGCTATGCACCAACAAACCCTCTTGCTACAGCAAATGGCACAATTATTACAGGCACAAGGTATTGCTTCAACAAGTAATCCAGGTACGAGTTCATCAAAAGCTACACTAATGGAATCATTGTCGCACTCAATGACAGACTTTGTGCATGAACCAGAAAGTGGTTTAATTTTTCAAGCTTGGTACAACAGATATGTACATGTTTTCGAAAAAGAGGCGAACACTCTAGAAGACCATGACAAAGTTGCACTACTTTGGCGTAAAATGTCTAATTACATGAAAGATTTTCAAACTACATTCTGCCAATGAAACCAGTTGACATGTCTCTAAAGGACACTGTTGACAAGATGAACAAACTATTCGGCAAAGCTGAAACACAAGTTTCACAACGCTACAAATGCCTGCAACTTGCAAAAGCAGATGGTGAGGATTTTAAAGAGTACGCAAGCCGTGTAAATCTTCAATGCGAGCTCTTCAAGATGACAGACTTAAAAATCGATCAGTTCAAGTGTTTAATTTTTGTATTGGGTCTTAAATCAAGTAAAGACACAGATATTCGCGTACGTTTATTGAAAATTTTGGATGAATTTTCCGAAACAACAAATTTGGATAAACTGGTAGACGAAACACAGCGTATAATGGATTTGAAATCTGATAACATAATGATTGAACACCAACCAAAATCAATTTGCTTTGCTAACAAAAAGGAGAACAACAACAACAGTCACAAACTTCCGAAGACACCTTGCTGGCTCTGCGGGGATCTACATTTCGTAAAATTTTGTCCCTACGTTAAACACAAATGCACCAAATGTCAACAAATTGGACACAAGGACAACTACTGTTCCAGCTCCAAGCCCATTAAAACAAAATCAACACAAAATTACTACAAAGACAAATTTCAACGGAAATCAAAATTTCGTACCAATGCAGCATTCACAACAATGAAGCTTCAATTCAAAGAACTTCGTAAGTATACAACTGTGACGATCAATAATAACACTATTCGACTTCAGATAGACACAGCATCGGATATTTCAATAATTTCTGTTGAGACATGGGAAACCATTGGCAAACATTGATGCAAATACCAACAAAATTAATCTCCTAGCTATGTTTGAATGCGATGTAACAATGAATGACGTCACAAAAACAGTAAGCTGCTATATCACAGATATAGACCAACTGAATATCATGGGAATCGATTGGATTCAAGCTTTCGATCTCTGGGATAAACCAATATCTACTTGTTGTAGACAAATTAAATTCGATGACGAAATAGCTAAACTTAAGGAAAATTATCAACCCGTTTTTGATAACAGTACTTTGGAACTTTGTACAAAAACAAAGGTACATATTCAACTGCTTCCAAATGCAAAGGAAATTTTCGTTCCTAAACGCCCAGTTCCTTACGCAGCAAGACTTGAAATCGAATCAGAACTACAAAGATTGGAAAATGCAAACATTATTTCTCCTGTGGATACATCAAAGTACGCCGCACCAATTGTGGTCAGTAGAAGAAATGGTAAAATTAGAATTTGCGCAGATTATTCTACGGGACTAAACTCAATAGTTGAACCGAATTATTTATTTATTTAAATTTAATCGTTTAACACCTGGTATAAAATCAGCTCCAGGAGCATTTCAAAGGATCATGGACCAACTATGCTCTGGCATAGAGGGCGCCAAGGCTTATATAGACGATATCATGCTTGCAAGTAAGTCAATTGCAGAACATAAAACTAATCTCAATCTGCTCTTACAGAAAATTCAAGATTTTGGATTCCGTCTAAAATTTGAAAAATGCCAATTTTTCAAAAAGCAAATTACATATCTTGGACAGATTATAAACAGTAATGGTATTCAGCCTGATCCAACGAAGATTACAGCAATTCAAAATTTGAAAACACCGCAAAACATCTCTGAAGTACGTTCACTCCTTGGCTCGATAAATCATTATGACAAATTCGTGAATAACATGCGAAACCTCAGAAAGCCTCTTGATGACCTATTAAAAAAGGAAAACACATTTAATTGGACTTCAGAATGTCAGGAATCTTTGGATAAATTTAAACAAATTTTGACCTCAGATATGTTACTTACACACTACAACCCAGATTTACCGATTCACGTAGCAGCTGATGCATCATCTCACGGTATAGGTGGCGTGATCTATCACACATTTCCTGATAACAGCATGAAGGCAATTCATCACATATCAGAACGTAATTATAGCCAAATTGAGAAGGAAGGGTTAGCACTAATTTTCGCCGTACAACGCTTCCACAAGATGTTGTTTGGACGCAAATTTACGTTGCACACCGATCACAAACCACTGCTCGCAATTTTCGGCTCAAAGAAAGGTATTCCTGTGTACACAGCCAACAGACTACAACGCTGGGCTTTGACGCTGCTAACCTATGACTTCGATATCAAATATACGAACACTAAGGATTTCGGTCATGCGGACGTATTATCCAGACTCATCAGTGATAATTAAACCAACCGACGAGTACATAGTAGCTTCCGTATCGCTTGAGGACGACATTCGCATCGATCTGGACGAAGCAGTATCTACATTACCAGTATCTTTCAAGATGATAGTCAAAGCCACCAAAAGCGATAAACTCTTCAAAGTGTTATACAATATATGAACACAGGTTGGCCAGAAAATAGTAAAAATATTCATTCTTCAATTGTACCATATTTTAATCGAAAAGAATCGTTATCGACGACAGATGGTTGCGTTATGTTTAACAATCGTATTGTAATACCGGATCCATATCGTCAAAAGATTCTCAGACAACTTCACAGAGGACACATTTCTGCAGAAAGATGTAAGTCAATCGCTCGCAGTTACGTTTATTGGCCTTGTATTGACAAGCAAATTGAAGATTTCATCAAAAAGTGTCAAAACTGTCAACAAGCCGCAAAGAATCCTGTCAAAACCGACCTTTGCTCGTGGCCAATAACAACACGACCGCTCGAGAGATTACATATTGACTATGCTGGACCTCTTAAGAATAAGTATTATCTAGTTAGTATCGACCCATTTTCTAAATACCCTGCTATTTACGAAACACCAACTATTACATCATTTGCAACAATAAAAATTATGAATGATTACTGTGCACAATTTGGAAATCCTGAACAAATAGTTTCGGACAACGGAACGCAGTTTTCCTCAGAACAATTTCAAAACTGGTGCAAGGAAAGAGCTATAGAACACACAAGAACTGTACGTTTCCATCCCAGCTCCAACGGACAAGCGGAAAGATTCGTAGATACACTAAAACGCGCTCTCAAAAAGGCAGAAGGGGAGGATACACCTACCACATCACTACAAACATTCTTGGAAGTCTATAGATCAACACCTAATCCAAATTCTCCAAATGGTAAGAGTCCTGCGGAATCATTTATAGGTCGAAAAATGAGAACAGTTTTCGACATCATCAAAAAGCCTAAAGTTACCAATCGTGAAACCAATCAGAAAATGGAGAAACAATATAATACCAAACACGGTACCCGAAAGAGAACATACCTCCATGGCGACCAGGTCTACGCTTTAAACTTCAAAGGAAACAAACAACACTGGGTGCCAGGGGAATTCATCGAGAAAATTGGTAACGTAGTTTACAATACCCTGATCTATGTTGCTAATAGAAAAATTCTCGTAAGATCAGACACAGACCAACTCCGACTTAGGTATACCGAAAGCGACAACTCATCAGAAAAATCTAATCTACCTTTGGAAATATTGCTTGAAGAATTCAAAATAACCCCACCATTGCAAGAAGAAACTTTTGCAACACCTACAGCTTCACCATGCCCAACTCTAATGCGTATAACCAGCCGTAGAAAACCAGTGGAACCATTTTCAAGATCACCGCAATAGTCTTAAGGAGGGAGATGTTAGGGGGTAACGCTATTATGAGGCATCAACATGACAATGTGGCATCACTATGAAATGCAACGCTGCATGCCCCATTAGCTTTAAGTTTCTTTTGTACAATTAATATAACCGTTTTTACAGCAAGTTGTGACACGCTAAAGCAAGCACACCTCAATCAATGAATTAAAGTTATTTTATTATTAAATAAAACAAATCGTCTTTTATTCAACATAAAAGTACAACATATACATACTTACAATAAAACGCTCTACTTAAAACGGCACGGAGAACTTATGCTCACTTATAACAAGTGACTTATATTTTAAAAAATGTTTTGATATTATGTATTATAATAAAAAAATAAAAATAGCAAACAAGAAAAATATATTCAAAATCAAGAGTTATAATACAGCAAGACCAAAAATCAAAATCAAAATACCATAGCAAGAGCTTGTAGGGCGTGAACAGATGTTAAGCAATATGATATTATTTTTTCGCGATCGTGTAAAAAGTCCCCGCACCAAAGGCGATGAAGTTTTGTATAAATTTTACTTTTCTATATGAGAAAAATAAATATTTTGCCAACATTTTTGCATTTGTATTACATTATCTTAAAGAGAACATTGTTCATTAAATCCTTGTTATGGACATTTTAACAAATCGCGATGATATTGCATGTTATAGAAAATAGTATACTTTTATATGAAAATTATTAAAATCATTTTTGAAAAATGACGAACGAAAGCATTTTAGAAATTACTTTCGGTTCGGGAAGTTTTTTGACCGAATTGACTTAAAAAATAGCCTTATATTATCAGGACTTTATTAGCTTTAAGGCGGTGCTATGGTATTTTGCCGCGCAAAAAAAGTCATAACCCTAATGTACATGTATTAGAGAGCTCCAAAAAAACGAAGTTGCGAATTTTTTGCTCCCCCCTCTAGAATTGTTCTATTTGTTGTAAAACTACCCAGCAAAAAATAATTGATGTCATACTTTACAAACGACATCTTAATCACATCTAAAAATGCGATTGCATACTTTTCGCTTTTATAAACCAAACATATCCTCACAAATGAAAACACAGTTAAAAATGAGAAGAGATGTAGAAAAGTCACTACAAATTTTGATGAAAAACCAATAACATTTACATAAGCGTTTCATTGAAAGAATGTGGTTTATTTTTGACATACAAATATCGGATTTTTACAGCTTCTAAAGATAGTTCAAAGTTGTCAAAAATGAACAACATCCCTCCAATGACACGCTAATGCAAAATTTATAGGTTTTTCATCTGAATTTGAAGCACTTCGGGTTACTAGTTGTGATGAAAATTCTACATCTTTTTCCACACTTTTTTTGCTGGGTATGTCATACAAAAAATTAGACCGACGTGATAACGTTAACAGGAGCCGCAACGGCTCTGAAGTTTCCAAGTGCATTTACAATGAAAAAAGTCGATTTTTCAGGTTTTGCTCAAATTTTGCCATTTAATAATAAACTTTGCACTTTATTGTGAAGGAATCATAATGTACACATAATAAACATTTTGAAATGATATAAAACACAAATATTGGTTGAAAAATTTTAAAGTTATTGCAAATTCCCCAGACGTGTCTCACTGCACATGAATTCGAAATCCGACAAACAAATTAACATTTTATTATACTACATTAAAACAATTGTGTTTAAATCAATCTTCTTTAAAAAGGCAATAAAACACTTTCAATGTCGTTTTTAAATATACTTTTTAACTCCACATTCAATAAAACTATCTTTCACTTTTGAAACTTGTTTAGAATAGCATTAAACAAATACAAATAAAATATTTTAATATAAATACATTTTAATATAAATACATCTCTACATAATTAGTTGAAGATTTGGATACGTGAAGGTCAAATGAAAAGTGAATGATCGAACAAATAAAGCAATTAACTTTGGATTGATAAACCAAAATCTTATATTGATTTCGTTAGCTCATCAAGATGTTGGTCGTAGTCTCACAAAAGTACATATTGACACCTAAAACGCAAACGGTCCTAACTAACCAAAAATTAAAAATCGATTTTATTGATGATTCTAATATATTGCATCAAAACAAATGTTCACAAACAAAATTGGACTCCTCGAACCAAAATTTTATTTTATTTTATTGACAAAAAACAAAAGGCCCTATCTACAAAAACATTTAAATATTAAAGGTAAAAAGTCCAATTTATCCATTTTTCTATACGCCATTGTCAAATACCATAAAAAATTAAAGGTTTCACTATAACAATAAATCGCTTTGATAAAAACAACCTTTTAAATCTACATAGTTTTCGGCTTCTCTTGCAAAATTTTGAAAATGTTAGATAGGGCCGTTTGCGTTTTAGGTGACGATATGTACATATGGGCAATTTCGTGTCAAGTAACCTAACTTTTAAAATCAATGTCTTCCGATTTGGATGAAATTTGCACCAAGATTAGTACTATTGGATAGTATCTAAATGAAAAAATTTTTGCTAGGACCAAAAGGTGAAAAGTTACACTTATTTGAATTAAACCCTGTATGACCAAAATGTCCAACTTTGACCCCCTCTAAGTCCGGCAGTTCTTGACCGATAGTGCTGTCTAGCCTACTATCCAATGTACTAACACTTGCGCAAATTTTATCAAAATCGATTTTTTGAGTTGGGTCATTTGACATGAAATTGCCCATATGTATAATATTCAGGGTTCTTATATAGCTCAGGAAAATAAGGGTTTTGCTCCGGAATTTCTGATAGCTAAATGAAAATTGGCACATAGCTTCTCCTTAATTATTAAAGGATTAAAAGTTACAAAAATCTGATTTTAGCGCATATGTTTTGATGTTATTATAATTTCTATAGAGAATTTATTGGAACTTAATAAATTACAAACAACTATTTTCAGTTTCTAAAGTAGACTGAAAATTTGAATTATAAAACGTAATAACAATTATTTAAAATTCAAATGTTACTAAAAGTAAATTAACAAAGTTCTTTTGTTGATAAGCAAACAATTTGATCTAACAGAATTTCCTACAATTTGGCTTGGTTTCCATTCAACTAATATTATCAAATCTTAATAGAGATTGTACTAATAACAAATTTGAATTGAAATGATCGGAACTCATTTGACCCATACACTTATAAACACTAGTAATTTGAAGTAAAGAATGTCGAGTGGGAAAATGATTAAAATTAAATTAAAAATTCTATGCAAAATTAAAAAAAATCAAATTACGCAATTTATATGGCTAATTAGAGCCAAATATTCCCAAAACAAAAAATGGTTTTATGTGTTTTCGACGGCCGCGTTTAAAATTTTAGAAATGCCCATGTACAATATATGATACAATTTTCCACATGTTACTTCTAAATATCTTCTCGAGATTAACCTTTTAATTCAAAAAAGACTGTCATATATTTCAACTTGTTTCTAGTTCATATTTCTTTTAATTTCTTGAAACTCGGAAAAATTTTGTTAATGCGTAATAAATTTATATTGATAATTTTTATTTAAAATTTTTAGTGAAGAATTTGATTAATAGCCCATTTACACTACAACTAGATATTCCATACAAAACAAAATCTACTTCGTACCTAGATTTAAAAAATGTTTGGGAAATTAGGAACTCTAGTTAAATATGAAATTTTAAATTAACAAATTTTATAAAAACCAAAAAATTTAATTTTTATATTATTTGACTTTAATAACACTGCTAATACAACTTATACTAAATGCCTTCCTAAATTCAACTTTGTCTATAGCCATCATATAGTGTTATTTTTTAAATATTGATTACACCACATGTAATTTACATACATAAAATATAAAAAACTGTTATACCCCAGCAAAAAATAATGCGATTGCATACTTTACGCTTTTATAAACCAAACATATACTTACAAATTAAAACACAGTTAAAAATGAGAAAGGAGATGTAGAAAAGTCACTACAAACAACATATCCGAAGTACTTCAAATTTTGATGAAAAACCAATGAAATTTACATAAGCGTTTCATTGAAAGAATGTGGTTTATTTTTAACATACAAATATCGGATTTTTACAGCTTCTAAAGATAAGATTAGATGTAGTTCAAAGTTGTCAAAAATGAACAACATCCCTCCAATGACACGCTAATGTAAAATTCATAGGTTTTTCACCTGAATTTGAAGCACTTCGGGTTACTAGTTGTGATGAAAATTCTACATCTTTTTCCACACTTTTTTTGCTGGGACTGTTAGGGTCTTATTCATTAACATTTATCAAAGGTTTATAAATCAAATTTTCATACAATATTTGTACTATAAACCTATTTGACGATGCTATGCCAATTTTCATATTTGCAAAAAATGTCAATAGTTACCCAGCAAAAACTCGCTTACTTTTCAATGACTACTACTTACCGTCTGCATTACATAGAAGTACTCTAGTAATGACTTTCTTATAATCTGATATAGAAGTACTTTATTTTCGGCTTTGTCATTTTGTTTGCACATTTTATTTAATTGCGTTTTAAGAATTGTGTTTTAAAAAAATAAAACAAAATTAGTTTTGTTTGTGAAAACCATTATTTGACGCGCAATAAAATAGCTAAGCAGTGGTGCAGTGTGTAGAACATTTGACTAACAAACCGAAGCCCCTGGTTCGTATTCTAGCTGGCTCTTTTTATTATTAAAAAACAAAACAACTTACTCAACAACTGTTTTGTAAGGGAAATTGCAAGTACTTCTTTAAGTCCCTATTTGTAAGCGTGCATAGAAGTACTTGCCTCCAATGACATCACCGTGTTAAAATAATGACTTAAAATGCTAATGAAGAAGTAGTGAATAGAGGTTTTATTAGCTATTTAACTCATTACTTTTCAATGTAAGTTTTTCCTGGGTATATCCCTAATGTATATGGTTTATACTTTATTTATTGGTTTTACATAATAAATATCAAAGAATATTTGTTTTATATTTTTATACTCAAACCCAGCAAAAAATAATT